TCTGCGCAGGGTGGTGCACAAGTATGCGGTTCATCCATATGATGCTGGTCAGCCATTTGCAAATCCCTCGTGGGGTCTACGCCATGCGGGATTAAATGCAGTCCAAGCAGATCATGTTCCAGTCCCTCAGCGTTCGGGGCCATATATATATATATATATATATCCCCACACACACACACACAGACATCCCCACCCCTCGCTGTGTGCGTCTGTGAGCGACCGCACACACTCACCCTTATTCACATTGAAAAAAAAAGCGGCGCTAAGCCTTAACGCAAATTGAAAAAGCTAAGAAAAACGGAATGTACTCTCTATATCATCCCCAGATAAGGGAGCATGAAGCGAGGGAGGACGGAGGGCCGAGGTAGGTAACTCCACCGGAGGGAGGAGGGAGAAGGCGAGGGAGGAAAGAAGGAAGGAGAAAGGGAGGAAGGAGGGAGGGCCGATGGGCCAGGGGTGAGGGAGGGAGGAGCGAGGGTCGAGGCAGGAATGGAGAACGGACCGAGGGAGGGAGGAGAGAGGGTCAAGGCAGGAATGGAGGACGGGCCGAGGGAGGAGGGATGGTGATGGTGCCTCTGGTGCCTCTCTCTCTCTCTCTCTCTCTCTCTCTCTCTCTCTCTCTCTCTCTCTCTCTGTCTGGAGGGAGGAGAGAGGACGGGCCGAGAGAGAGAGAGAGACAGAGAGAGAGAGAGAGAGAGAGCACGGATCCACGATGAGCACCGAGCACGAAAAGCACGTATCCACGATGAGCACGAAAAGCACGGATCAACGATGAGCACTGAGCACCGAAGAAAAGCACGGATCCCCAGTGAGCATGAATCCACGATGCGCACGTATCCACGATGAGCACCGAGCACCAAAAGCACGGATCGACGATGAGCACGTGATCATGCACCAAAGAAAAGCACGGATCCACGATTAGCACAACAAGCACGTATCCGCGATGAGCACCGAGCACGAAAAGCACGTATCCACGATGAGCACCGAGCAGCGAAAGCACGGATCGATGATGAGCGCGTTATCATGCACCAAAGAAAAGCACAGATACACGATCAGCACGTGATCATGTACCAAAACACGGATCCACGATCAGCACGTGACGAAAAGCACCGAGCACCAAAGATGAGAGATCATGTACCAAAGCACGGATCCACGATCAGCACGTGACGAAAAGCACGGATCCATGATGAGCACCGAGCACCAAAGATGAGCAGCAAGTTCCCGTCGAGCACCAAAGGACAGCACAGTCCGAGAGAGAGAGAGAGAGAGAGAGAGAGAGAGAGAGAGAGCACGATGAGCACGTCCCGCGCCGTTGCGTGCCGTAGAGTGCCGTAGCGTGCCGTAGCGTGCCGTAGCGCGCCGTAGTGTGCCATCTCGTGCCGTCGTGTGCCGTCGCGTGCCGTCGCGTGCCGTAGCGCCCGAGACGGTTGAGAAGCCCGCCGCGGGCACATACACACGAAGGGCGATTTCAGGGCTGGGTGCGGGCGCGTGTTCAGAAGGGCCGTTGGGGCGGGGCGAGTCGGTATCGCACGACCCAGATTGCGGGCTGGTCACCACCTGTGAACGGCCCAGATCGCAGGCCGATGAGAAAAGTTTCTCATCGGCCTGCGATCTGGGCCGTCCGCGGGTGGTGAACGGGCCGCAACCTGAGCCGTGCGATATGACATTAGCGATTCTTATAGTATTGTAGATGCAGATGTACACAATGCGGAGTTTCTCATCGGCCTGCGATCTGGGCCGCCCGCGGGTGGTGAACGGGCCGCGGGTGGTGAACGGGACGCAACCTGAGCCGTGCGATATGACGTTAGCGATTCTTATAGTATTGTAGATGTAGATGTAGACAATGCGGACCCACATAGTGGATTGTCGATTGTGGACGGATAAGTGTGGATTAAAAGAAAAAAGAAAAAAAAACTACATTCCAAAGTAGAAGCTTCAACCGAAAAGCATCGAAATCACGAATGTTGGTAAGCTAAATGACATAGAAGATGATAAATCAAAAAGAAAAGGAAGCGAGAGTAAGGCACTCACTTCCTCGACTTGTGGTACTTCCTGAGCAGCTCGTCAAGCCTTGCATCACGAGCCCGGTCCTCAAGGACCTGTCAAGTCCATAGCACAATACAGACATACCTTAATAAGCAACCAGAAATCGCAAATTAAATAGCAAGCTTAGGGGGAAGAAAAAACTAAAAAGAAACAAAAGAAATCCAAAATAAAAGCCTTCACAGTAGTTTGCAATACATATTACACGAGTACACGTTTGGGTAGGTGTATCATACAACATTTGTACACAAGGATTTCCATCCAAGCTTTTGTCTTTTTCTTCTTTTTTTGGGGGGGGGAGTGGCATGCCAGTGCAGCAAGCTTAAAGCCTGCACAGATTCTGGGGCTGACAAGCTGCCAAACACCCCACACTTTGGGGTGCCATATAACCC